TCCGCGAACCAGTACCGGTCCGCGGACCGGCGGTTGGGGACCCCTGTACTAGATGGCAGCAAAAAGCTAAGTTACTTGTATTGTTACTTTACTGCCACCTAGTGGTGTTTTACAACCCAGATCTCATAAATCCAGCACCTTTTTAGTTAATTTACAGCCAAATTGTGTGGAAACTCCTACCAAAAGCCCAGTCTCTTGAAATGTTGCACAAAAGCTATGGCATAAAAAAGGAAACACGTGTCTACTTTGCAATCATGAACAAGCCAGGCCTCATTTAAATTTTAAAAATGATGGTGTCCTCTTCCCTGGAATAAACCCAGCTTGCTTTCACCTTGATTTCCATGGCAATCAGAGAAGGAACATGCTTCCTCTTGAAAGAGACTTTTTTTTTTGTTGGATTTGCAGCACCTCCATTCCTGGTCTCTAAACATAACTGTGGCCTTTGTAGGTTATGATGCACCTTAAAATACTGTGTATGAATTTAAACATACACCTGGTAATTTATTTTAAAATGGAATCCTTTTAGTTTCTATATATCTGTTATGCTCTTAACTGAACCATAGTTCTCCATGGAGATTACAACAGAACTAAAAGGGTAAAAACAGCAGAATGAGAAATGTTTTTACTTGGTGAATTTTTACTTGTCACATAACTGTGTGAAAGATACAAGATTGTGGACAGCAGAAGGCTTTTCAAAAACAAAAACCAGCTGGCTGACCGAAAAAAAAACCCAGGCAGGACTGCATGCAATCAAGTCCTGTCCTTTTGCAGTCACACTGGCACATCCAGAGTGCGGCTGTTTCATTGTGCCTGAGCCTCCGTCCATGTTTTTGTTATTTTCCCATTTTGCTTGCTTCTTGGGAGGAAAAAAATGGTTGGCCATGATGAATAGCCCTTTAAAAACCAGAAGAGCACTTGAAGACCTTGGGAAATTGAGACTGCTGACTGGTTTGAAGAGGTAAAGATTGGTGCTCTTAATTAGGCAAGCAAAGAGGCGCTGTTTACTTTGGTTTGACAGCCGCTGCGTCTGCCCACTCTCAATCAAGAAGCAGCTTGAAACCCCCAGGACATTTGCTTGTTCTTTTAAATTTCAGAATTAAAAATTTAGCATCTACGAAAGGGCTGGTGCCTACTAGGGCATGGAGCGGTGGTGTGGTGCCAGTTGTCTGTGAAGCCCATCTGCTAAGTTCCTGCTGTTCCAGCCCTTGGCACACTCTGTCTGGTCCGACAGAAATCCTCTCTTGGCTGTCAGGCAGAGATTTCAATGCAGAAATTTTTTTTTTTTCCTGAGAGCAAAACAGCACCAGGCCCTTGTGCTCTGGATGAAAATCAGCCACTCTTTTATGGACGGTTGCCATTGTTGCTCTCTTTTGCTGATCCTAAATCTTGGGATTATATAGGAACATTGCTGATAGGTTGAAGTTGAAATAATGAGTCAAGAGGAGTATTTGGGAGTGGGATGCTTCCCTTGACATTCCTATATACTGGGCAAATTAGAACACTGTCTTTAGAGGATTTTTTTTTAAAAAATGGAATAGACAAGCTGATATACTTGATATTTTGGCTATGTCCCCCACTACTTCTTGCTGCGGGTCACTGGATTAGCTGAGTATGAGGAGTCCAAACTCTGTCAGTTCTGTCTCCTATTCCCTGTCCCTACCAAATCTCCCAGCAGCACCTGAATGCTTCAACTTAAAAAAGGAAGAACTTAAAAAGTTTTTAAGAACTATTGGCATAAGAACCACAAAATTCTACAAAATCATGAAGTGACTTAGCAGTATACAAGAACCAGGAACTGAGTTTGTACATCACATTAAGCTATGTGATTTGTATTGCTTGGATTTAGAGTGCAGTGTGACTCTAGCTATTAAGTTCTTCAAATCATGGTTTACAGCATAGCATATTATGTGAACCCAGCTAATCATAGTTTATTGCAATCCATTTCCTACTGACCAGTGTCGAGCAACATGTAATAAAGCAAGTTGCTTTACTTGCAGTGACTGCAAAGAAGATGTTGACAGATAACTTCTATTGTTGGGGGGAGGATAAATTGAGCCAGTAAGGATTGTAATTTTATACAGATTTTTATTCAAATCTATGGTTGCAAATAAATGGATTAACTATCTAATTTACTGCAATAAACCATGGTCACACAAATGAAAGTTTAGCATAACATGAACTACAGCAGAAATCTAAGATGATAAATATACAGTATATGCCATCCAACTTCAGCAACTCTGCAGTTTACAATTAAAACATTTAAAAACACATAAACAGTACAAAAGAACAATAATGGTAAAGAGAATACATCCAGAGAAAGCAGAAAGCAAGCATTAGCCATTCTTTCCAAAAGCTGGGTGAAGAGCCAAGTTCAGGTGCTTCAGGCGCTAGCGATGCCCACCCCATTTTAGCAAAGGGGGAAAAAAGTCCAAATATGTCACGACTCCGCCGTGACATGAGTTTGACACCCCTGATCTATATCATTTCATCCATCCATCCAAATACTACTTACTCCTACTACTACTACTTCCTTCTTCCTCTTCTTTCTTCTTCCTCCTCCTCCTCCTCCACCAGGCAAGTGAGGTACAAGTATATTCAATCAATGACAACGAATAAATAACCCAAAGATTATCTTTGAAATCTCTAAGGTAAGCTTTATTGTTTTCTGGGTAATAACATTTTAACTTTGTTTTCTTCTGGGATATATTTTTAAACTCTGTTTTTTAACGTACAAAGCTGGGGCATCCTCCAGCCCTGTTTAGCTTTTCGAGATCAGCCATTGAGCTAAATTAACAGAAGCGGCTTCCCTCTGCTTTCTCGGGCCAGGTTGCAAAGGCCCATCGTAGCCCGGCTTGCCTCTGGGGGTGGGGTGGGGGTCACACGGGAAGGGATGTTACTTCTTACACTCTCCAGATGCAAGACGACGAGATTCTGCCTGCCCTTTGAATCGCACGCGCAGTGGCGACAGGAGCAGAGAAAGGCAGGCAGAAGCCCGAGAGAGCGCCCCTTGGGTCACGCGCGCCTTCCCTAAAGAGGCGGACCGGGCTCGCGGGGCAGCCCCTTTGGGAGGGGCTCGGGAAAGCCTTGAGCTGGAGGAAGATATCTCTGTGCGATGGCTGCCTGGGCAAATTGGCGGGAAACCGACTGAGGAATGAAACCCCTCCCCCTCCCAACCCCCTGACAACCAATAAGTCACCTTTTTTTTTTTTTGCTGCTTTTACAATCACACCTGAGCTCGCTCCCTCCCTCTTTTTTCCTTTCATCCCAGCTGGAAGATGGCTCGTGTTTCCCCCACCCCCCCTCCCCCTCCCAAGCTCGGCAACCAAGAGCTAATCCGCCAGCGAGAGCCGGGCCGTGTCGCCCTCTCCCCTTTTGTACCGGGATCCTCTCGAGAGCTCGTTATTCCCCGCCCTGCCGCCTCTGCTCCACAGGAGCCGAACGTCAGCTGGGCTCGGGAGCCCCTTTGCAGCTCGCCTGGCTGGCTGGCTGGCAACCCTTTCCACCTCCCCCGCCGCCTGGTTTGAATGGCAGCTCTCTTGTTTTAATAGATCCCTTATTTTAATTTGGCTTTTCAAGCAGCGGCAGGCTTTTAATGCTGGCGGAGAGGCAGCTTCCTCATTTTCACCTCTAAAGCAGGTCAATTCGTCGCCTATTCAGTCACCCGTCACAGTAACCTTTGGAATTATCCAGGGCTCTCTGGCGCGCAGCGTGTGAGGAGCATAGCAATAAGAGCAGCGCACCTGCTGACATGCTCTGCCAGCACTTAATGCATTATAGATACATCCAGGCAGACAAATCTGTAGACTATACTCAGCGGGCGTCTTTTTCTGTGGATGCACGTGTGCACCTATGTGGGAATGTGCTCACAGATGGGCCAGAATGATGGGGAAAAAAAGGGGAAATAGAGCAACCTTTAACACGTTGAAGGGAGTCCGAGATGGCAATAATAATAAGGTCCATTATCCCTCTGCCTCTTTCAAATGTGCAGAAGAGAATTTCTGTGTTTCAACACCATTTGGGTCTGGTCCATTCTTCTCAAGTGAATGGATGCTTACCTTAACCTTACTGTATTGAAGTCCTGGATGAATCACGTTGCCCTTGGCCTGTGATTGGTTTGTTGTTTTTTCCTTAGTGTGTTGTAGTTGTAGTTATATATTTGAAAAATGTATACAGTCATTTACATTACATAAAATAATCCCAGGTGGCTAACAAACAAATGAAAACAGAAGCTTATGATATGCCAGCTAATGATTGTAAAGTACCCAGAGTGATGTGAGCCCCTGTTATTCAACAAATCATAACCGGGAAAGCTATGACTGGATGTGATATGTGAATCCAGTTTCTATCTACCTCTTTCATCTGGACAAGCTATCCTTACCTTAAATAATTAGCTTCTTGAGCTTACTTGGTAATAAATCAATGGACCACATCCCAGGTGAAATGAATAGGCTTCTGCTCACCCAACAGAATGCATTGTGCTCTGTGTGTGTGTGTGTTTCTTAATTTCTCCTGGAACAATCTTCATAGCTGATTTCAGGGGCAAGTGGCCTAGAGGGGCTTGTTCAGAGATAAAATTATTTTTGCTTGCAAATGCTGTTTATTCGATTTGACAAAATTCCTTAACTTTCAGGGAAGAATTTGGACAGAAAATTAATGAGTGAATTATGAACAGATTCTTTCTTTAGATGAATCTGTTCTGCCATGAATACAATCTGGCCCTCTATTCTGATATGCTTGGGTAAATCCTGATGCATTTTGGTCACAAGAGCAAAGGAAAGCTGGTATTAATATTTAGGTATACTTCCTTACTTAATTGGGTAGCGTTACAGGGCAAAATGGCAGTTTTCCATCCTGAGCAGGCCAGGTTGAAACAGGCAAATGAGGATGTGTCCCATAATTCTTCTCAAAACAATTTGGGACAGTTTGTGGGGGTCAAATGGGTGCACTGTTTTAGAGACAGCCCCCCCCCCCAAAAAAAAAAAACCCTAGACTGAAGTCTGTCTTTATAATTTCCTAATTTATTGCAACCTTTTCCATTCATCACCCCACTGTCCTCCAATTCTATACACACAATCACTACATTCTGGATGTCTTTAGAACAAAAGCCATCGGGACAAATTATCTTATATAGGTCGCTATTAACAGGAAAAAAGCCCATCTGAATAATTTTGATGGTTGGTATACACTATAAGCTGGCAGTAACTTCAAGGATGAATTTGATGGTAGATTAACAGGAAGTCCTGAGGGTGATATACAGACCAGTGTATAAATTCCTATATTACAATAATTTTACCATGTATTTATAATTTTACCATATATTCATAATTAAAGAGCTTTTTTATTGCACTTGCTGGAGGAACATTTACAGACTAGCCGAGGTCTATATACAGCTTCTGAAATGAGCTTTTGTAAAAAATATGGATGGGCTTATCCTAACTTGAGGCATTGCGTGTTGAAGCTGTCACCCTCTTTGACAGCTACAGCTTCAAGTAGAGCCTGTTTCTTTTGCATGCTGCGAGAAGACTCAAGTTCGTACATGGTTGTCAAATTGAAGAGAACGCTCTCATGGAGGTAGTGTTTAGGATCCTGCTGAACCATCCCTTCCAGCTGACGGAGGGAATCCTTCAGTTTTCCCAGATAAAGAAGACAAACAGCAGCATTGTTGTTAGCCTAGGGAAAATAGATATATTAGGTTTCTTTATGAAATCCAAAGGAACCACTCTAGAGAACATGCAGCACACTTTAAATACTTTTAAAAAAAAAAAAAATCCAAGCCTTGATTTTGGGACTTGGATGCTTTCTTTGTTGCCAGAGTTCCAACCATTACAACAGGGCTTGTTTACAGAGTTCAAGATGGATATGAGGAACATCACAATTTAAACTGGTTCCCCAACTGGATGCCCTCCACTGACTAGCTGAGAATTCTGGGAATTTATATTTCAATCCATATGGAGGGTTCCAGATTGGAGAAGATTGAACTATATATTACTTTGTATCATTTCAGTGAAGTTCACTAAACAAATTCTGATTGTGCTAAGTACTGATACTTACTATTACTTCAATGTGTACAATTCTCAACTTACGACGGGCTGTTCAAAGCTAAGGCAGACCCTTAAATGCTACTTGTGATGTGGTCCCAAATTATGGCAGCTGCAGTGTCTTTGCAATTGTTTGTCCTTACAATCAACTGCAAGGATGCTGCAATGTCCCTCTACATACCTTCCCGCCATCTCCCACACAGAGTCCCTGCAGGCCTTGAGTGTGGTCCACACTTCACCATGCTGCACACACCCCTCCTCACCCCAAATCATTCATCAGGCACCTTTAGAAGATCTCTGGAGCTCGGGTTAGGGAAGAAGATCAAGCTGCTCCATTGCTAGACTGCATGGCATGATTTTTGAAGTGATTGCCATTTTCTGAGCAGCCACACAATTCAAAGTGGCTGCCCTGAAAATTGCAGCTACTTTCAGGACCATACCACACTGTCCAGCAACAGGGAGGCTCGCTTTCCTTCCCTAACACAAGCTCTGCAGCATTCTGCAGTGTTCTGGAGCTTGTGTCAGGGAAGCATGGTAAGCAATTCCATTGCTGGCCCCCATGGTGCAACTCTGGAAACGACCACCATTTTTTGAGAAGCTATAATTCAATGTGGCCAGAGGAGTGGGAACTGGAGTATGGTGTACCTTGGGGTGGGGGAGGCCTTGGGAGGGCCGGGACAGGACCTATGCTAGGTCTTCCAAGGCCTGCCTCAGGGCTCCTGAGGCACCCCATGCTTCTCTTAACAACCACATCAGGAAGAACAGGGATGGAGCATTGTAAATAAGGTGATCCACATGGGCACTTCACTTAATGGTTATTATGACCCATGGCAGCCTCCATTATGGTCGTTGGTCAAAGTCTACCTGTATATCCATACACTATTACAAATCAGACACTAAAGGATAATTTACTTTTAAAGCTTACAACCCATGGCTATTTTAACATTAAGATTTCTTACCACAGAATTGGATGGATCAATCTTCAAAATTTCTGTGAAATATTTGTGAGCTTCTGCAAAGTTATTCTGACCAAGATGCAGAAATGCTCTAAAATATAGTAAGAGTAAGAAGAAGAGAGAGACTGTTTGTATTCTTTCAGAACATGACTCAGTTATAGAAGGAAACTACATTCTTTTCTTTCATAGATATGGATGTTCCTTCAGTTGATCTTCATAAAATAATCTTGGATCTAAATTATATCTTAGATGTCAGATTAAACAATGCAACATGAAGTATAGCATTGAATTCCAACTTATCGGAGTTCTTCAGCAGTTTCTGTTTCCTATATATTTTTTCCAATATGTATGTGGTCTTCACAATTTTAGATAAGCATTTAAAATATATTAAATGAATACACTTCAATAACTATTTATTTTGTTCACAAACAAAAAGGGGATCCATGGAAGCTTCCAAAGGTTAGTGAGTTTAGCTAGTTTCTTTGATGTTGTATTCCAAGTGCAATCACCTATACTTATTGGAAGTGCTCCCAATAATGCTGTACAACTTTTCAGAAACTAGGAACAGAGGGAGAGAGGACTCAGAGTGAGTCTAGTATGAAGTATAGCATTGAATTCCTTTAGTATGAAGTATAGCATTGAATTCCTCTAGTAATTTCTCTAGTATGCATCAAATTTATCTAGTATGTATGACATTTTGCTGAGCATAACTCTAGATCCAATACATTCAATGTTCCACTGAGTTAAATGGTTCTTAGTTCTTAGTAATTATGGCTAAGTCTGCACTGCCACATTAATCTGTAAAGCTGATATAGAAATAAATTTGCATATAGTGGTCAAGAAAAAAACTTGTAATAAGGTATTTTTTTCAGGGTTACATATGTGATACAAATCTCATAGACTAGTAGGTGCCGATCAGCTTTTCTTCTGGCAGCTGAGGTTACATAAAATATAAATGAAGAGAAAGGGGTATTCGCTAGGGCCTCTTAATGTTTGTAGTACATACTTTGCAAAATCATGTCTAATATTAATTTGGCATTTATGTCTCCCACCTGTTCATTAAAACCATAATTTGGATCTTCAGTCCATCCAATTTCTGAGCCACTTTTTCAACATCTTGAAAATACTTTTCAGCCATTTTAATGTCTCCAATCTGGATAGCACATAAATGGTTAATAACAGTTACTTTAATTACCAAAGCACAAGAGAGGCTCATCAATAGGTAGATCTTCACATATATATTACTTTCAATACTAGGAGCAAAAGAAGAGAAAAATGTAACATACAGCAAATATAAATACCAATTCTAACCCATCAATACATAGCTAAAATTAGTGGTTTGGGTCAATATTGATTTTAGTTCTCACACACACACACACACAAGCTCTCAAAGTGTGACAATGTGCAGATACCAGTAGCAACAGTGGAATATACTGATTCTCAGACCTATTTAGCTCTTGACTCACTCCAATTATATTAAATCTGAAATAGAAATTCTTTAGAAATAGCTCAGTAATGTTCAAGAAAATATTGCAGAGAACCAAAACTCAGATGAATGTGTTCAGTTTTTAAAATAAATTTGTTCTGACACAGAAGTGTCATGGTGTATAGTTATTTAGCCCTTTTTATTTTCCAGTTAAGGCACATTGTACCTACAGTATCTTGTTCCCAGTGCTGATAAAACAACCTTCCAGTTCTTATTCTAGGCATTTTATATAAAAGTTTATCGGTGGCCTTTGAAAGCCAATCCATTCCTTCATTTATGAACACACTACTCTGAACTAAAAGCGGTTCTGATATTGCTACAACAAGAGCCATTTTCTACTAGACACAGGGAAGATCAGTTGCTTCTCAAATTCAGCAACATGAGAAAGGTTTGATGTCTGGCCAAAAGGCAGCAAGAACAAATCCACACTAAATGTCCAATTCAAATGGTATATATCTGTGTGCATTCTAAATTTTCCATAGATTAAGTGAGATGGTGATTTTCCTTCCTTCAAACATCTAGATCTCAATAGCTAATATATAGATGGATCAAGTTCTCTCAAAGGAAAGCAGGTGGAGTTTTAATTACCGTTGGCTCAGTGGCCTATATAGAGGGTCAGAAAGAGAGCAGGAAAATAATTCCAATTTCCAGCGCACTTTATTGTATGCAGTGAAAACAGGTTATAAAAAGTGGCTCATTATGGGCTTCAGTTTTATTTGATTACTATTTTATCCTTGCTCAAGATGGGGCTTATTGCTCAAAGGAAAACAGCTTCTTGGTTATTTATTAAGGACTGCTGAGGACTTTGGGCAGTGCTAAACAGGCAGGAAACTCAAGAGCCTTTCCAAGTTTCTGGAAGCATGATTCTTGGGCTACATTCAGTTGAACACTTTAACTTTTGTATCTAGTCTCAAGATCTGATTGCTTTGGGAATATTACAAGGGAAGACTGTATCTGAATCTGTCTGCAGATTCCTTGGTCCTCCAGATGAAAGTTCTGTGCAGATGCACTTATCTCCTTTTGAATTTTCTGAATATTTCTGTATTTTTGCCGCTGTTTTTCTCTGTGGGTCCTACTGACAAGAAGAGTCTGAATGAAAAATAGCAGCATATTTAATGCCTTTTTGGGGGAGTCATCTATCATAGATTTTACCAATCTAAAAAAGCTTCATTCCCCCTTAGATTTTCATATTGGTACTTAGACATAGACTTTGACCTGGCCATCCCAAATCCTGAATTTGTTCTTCATCTATTCTTTTACATTCCTTGTTTAACAACCATAATTGGGACCAGCAACTCTGTGTAACATGGCTGCTAATAAGTGAGACACCACCACAACTTGTGATTTTACTGCCAGCTCTCCCTTTGACTCTGCTTGTTGGAAGCTGGCTGTGCGAAGTATGCAACTGGTGATCATGTGACTGGGATGCTGCGACCGTCATCAATGCCTGGTGGTTGCGAGTCACATGACTGCAGGAATGCTCTAATGGTTATAAGTGCAATGACTAGCCGTAAAGTTGCAGCACTGTCATAATATTGAATGATCACTAAACAAGGCGGTCATTAAGTGAGGTCTACCTGTATAGTCTTGCCTGCATATTTGAAATTACTTTCTCCCTACTATGCCCACTTGCACCATGGAGCAGTATATAAGACTAATTGCTCTTGCTAAGAGCTATTGCTACTTGCAGTTTTCTTTTTAACTGATGAGAAGATGGCCTGATATTCACCTGTAAAATACTGTGATACAAGGCAGAATTTATGATTCCTTTAGTGATGGCAAGTTAAGATAAAGAAGCCCAAATCATGGCACTATCACCTTAGTGCTTAATAGCTGGAATGAGAATCTTATTAGGAACGTAGTATTTGGTTTCTATCTGATATAGTTCTACTTTTGATTCACCTGCCCCTGGAACATTCCTTAAGAAGGTCAGAGGATTACATCCAGGTACTTTTTAACAAATCTGAATGAGCATCAATATTCTCTTGTGAGCCATGATTTTGGCCTTCTACTCTTCCATCAACTGTTTTTACTGTTTTTGATTCTGGAACAGCCAAGGTAAGGATGGCCTGAATATCCCTGTTAGTTATTCTGGGGTTCTTTGTGATTCCTTTTGTGGAGCCCAACATTTTAGAGCTGATTTTGTAATCTTTTCCAGGTGATAGGCATCAACTACAATATTTTGAAAGAAAGATGTTCGAAATATCTTTTCATTGGGACATATATTTCACTGTAACATCTGCATTGTGAGAACTTCACTGTGGTGATGAGAGCTAATATTATGATATGTAGTGCAGAACAGGTCCACACCAACCCTGGCTGTCTAATAAAGTACATACTGTGCACACCTAGCCCTAGTTAGTCCTTTAACTGAACATGGGTGATGACCTTTTTATACTGGCATATCACTTGTTGGATGAAATAAGTGAAATGTGCACTAGTTGTCAAATTGTTTAGGGTAAACCCGGAGAATCATCACTGTCAAGAACTTATTTAGCAATTGGCACCTACAAGAGAGGCTCTTGCATGGCCTTTTATCAGGCACAAATAAGACAGCCTTCCCTTCCCTTGCTCCCAAGCTATGGGATGTGTTCCCTGAGAGGATGAACTTAGGCCTCCATTCTCAAATAATTAAAAAAATAGTTAAAAACGGGGGTTTTCAACCAAGTTTTTAAGTTACTTGATTTCATGCTAGTTTGATTTACATTTTTAATTTTTAGCGTTGACTTTTGTGTCAGAAAACTCAAAGTACATACCAGATTAGAAGGGCAAGATATGAATCTAACCAGCCAACCGACTAACCATTTCCTCTCTCCCTCCCAATTTCACAATTTTGCAGCTTTTCTTGGGCTTCTCGGACTGCATGCAGACATGGCCTCCTGGCAAATAAGAGGGGGCTTCTGTGATGCCATGATTCCAGACCCTTTTGTAAAGCCACAGGCTTTTCAAGTGCTATTGTTCAAGGTTATGTAAGCAAGCCAATGGGTTTCTTGGGCTTTGTCTTCAGTTCTATTGCACTGGAAGGAAAAGGTCCCACTCTGGCAGTAAAAACCACTAATTCAAGAATGTCCAATAATCTCTCTCCCCCCCCAAGGCCTCAGATAAGAGCAAGAACTGTGAGGAAGACGGGAGTCTCCTTCAGAGTCTGTTAACACTGTTCTATGAATTGGACGGACAGATTGTTCCTCGGAGGCATCAGGCAGTCTCCTTGCATCGTACCCAAGGTTGGGAATCTTGCCTTTCAGCAAACCAGCCTCTGATGGCTCTTAGTAGAGAAAGAGCGGAGTTGGAAATCTCGTCGTTTTTACTTGATGGATTGCAAGTCCATATGGCAATGTAAGAGGACACATGTGGTTTTTCCAAGAATGATTTGACAAATGTTTTAATATTCTGCCTGCGACAGGCTATTTTCAGTGTGAATCACCTAATGATAATATTCTTTTAATAAAAAAAGACTGGGTTAGATTGCTTCTTTAAAAAGAGTCATTTCTTTCAGCTGACTCCCTGCAATTGTCCTGATCCAAATGCTACAGATTCCTTAGGTGCACTTGCTATCTAACCCAGGCTGGATTTCATTCTTCATGGCTTGAGAGCAGGACACTTGGAAGACAACTTTCCTCTGCCCGGAACTCCTCAGCCTCAAGATCTTCTTCTGAATTTCCTGCTCAAGAATCTTCAAAGGAGGACTTTCTCATAGATCCTATCTATCACTTATCTTAGTATCATTGTGATGCTAGGCCAAGTTCCTGTTCTGACCAAGGCTTCCTAGACCGTAACTACACACACATTTTAAAAACAAGACATTTTATTGCAATGCTGGGAATTGTTTTCATTCCCAGCCGGAATGAATGTCAAACAGTCCCTAGAGATAATCACCCACCTTTCTTTTCTGTGAAGTGCTGCCAATAACAGAAGTATCAAATGAACTAGAAAAAAAAAAAAACCAACCGAAGTACAAAGAGCTTCAAGAATGAATCTGAACCGAATGAACTATTTTGCTTCCTGCAAAGGTTTCATCATCTTTGCCTGACCTTTATACCTTATGGGAGGGGCAATCATCTCCCAGCCTTACTCCCAAGTCGCCCCTTTTGTTTCAGCTGCTCTCGCCTTCTAGCAGCTCTGCACACATGCGCACTGGGAATAGGCTCCCCTGGGTCCTCTGCCTTGCTGCTGCCAGACTCCAAAGGCTCTGGAGGCAGCACCCCACTCCCAGATGGTCCTCGCCCCATCTCTGCATCGGATGCAGGACCCTCGTCCGAGTCCTCTCCAGACTCCCTGACTGATCTCCGTTGTTCCCCACTGTCCGATTCTGCTGCCGTCTGCACCGGCTGCCATCGAACCACAACAGTTCCTTTTTATTTTTGAAAGGCTTTAGTGTGGGGGTGTCAAACCTGCATTGTCACAGTGTCGTCCCGTGATGTATCGGGACTTCTCCCCCCTTTGCTAAACTGGGCAGGGGCAGGGACAGCAAAGGATGCATTCAGCCCGTGGGCCACGAGTTTAACACCCCTGCTTTAATGCTTCATTCCAAAGTTATCCTTCATAACAGTTTTACAAACAGCTTTTATTACTAATGTATTCTGAGTGAGTTAATTTCTAATTGTCAGCCACCTCTCAGAATTTATTTCAAGCTATCTAATACATATTATTCAGAATCAAATATTAAACTCTTCAATTTAGTTATCAAAGTGAGGAAACTCTGAAATATTGTATAAAAATATCTCGGGCCTTCTTGGGAGGCTCCAGTTGCGAAGAAAATGGGTTGTCCCATTTCATCTTCTACAAAGTGACTCAATTTCAGGGAAAACGTCTTGGGGGTTTATGGTCTGATTCAGTGTTACTCCATTTGTAATTGACTGATTCGGTGAACTGTCAGCAGCAAGCTAAATATGGCCAACGTAAGGAGGGAAATTAAACATCCCTTCTTGTGTTTGTTATTGTACTGAAAACAGACATTTTATTTTGGTATTAAAGTTGCAGGGGAAGAAAACAAGAGAAGCACAGATTTCATGCTGAAGACAAATGCAGCATTGATCTTTTTAAAAGCACCAGTGCCACAGGAAATCAACAAGTAATTTTTTCTATCAAAAAAATTTACTACGTTACAGAAATGGAAGCAGGCAGCGTGAGACAGCCCCTCAGGCAACTTATTGTTAGTATTTGCTTGTTACTGTACTTTTATACCAGGAATGGAAGAAATGTTAAGGAGTTTCTTCCTTTATGCGAAAATAATTTGACAGGCTGTGTGAACTGCACACCTTGCCTTGATTAGATGATGTGGCTAGGGCTGCATGTTTCTAAGAGGGCAAAAGGGTCCTTTTCTTTCTCAAGGACCACTACAGAGAATTCGGCATTGCAATTTGGGGAATGAAAAGTTACTTTCATGAATTCCATAGAAAATGTGGAGTATTTATTACACCCCGTTCATCTTTCAGTATCTGTGTGTTTATAACTGAGTGGAAAATGTCAAATACCCTGCATCTTTTACAGAACAGGGAACAGCTAGTCTGAAAAACAATGCTCACCAGATAATTCAATGAGTTTACGGAGTCTGTTGTTTCAACTATTATGTTTTCATGCAATAATAACTGTCAGAATACTCGTTACATTTAAGTTGTAGATATTCTGGAATAGCAAGAAGTTAGGTGGACAAACCTAGGACATTCTCCCTGATCTGTTAGAGCATTCACCTCATATTTCATTCTAGACTTATTTGGTACTGATACAGTCATCTACTTTACATCTTTCATCTTTGTCATTATTTTTGTTTCAAAGAATGACACAATTCACACATCCAACTATCTAAAATTAGGGCACTTAAAAACCTTTCCTTATGTTAATACTAATGTAATGGGGCTCAGCAGGGATTTCACGTGGCGTTATTCAGAATCAGGTACATACCTGCAGGAAAATCCTTCCAATTCCACTCAACAGCTGAGGCTCCTGCTCTGGGCAATATTTCATGACGGTGTGATATGTCTCCACAGCAAGCACATAGTCCTAAGGGGTAAAGCAAGCACAAAGGGGGAGGGAGGCAAAGTCAACATTTATTCTTCTGTGCTCCATATACCTTAAAGTGAGAGAAGCTGCAGACATGCATGATAAAACAGATGGAAGTAGAAATCTTCAAAGTGGGAAGGACACCGTGCCTGAAAATATGACAAGATTTCCTATTTTCTTGGCACCTAGCAGAGGGAGCGGACACACAAGATGAGAGAGCCCCATGTGGGAGCGATGTTTCACTGCTTCTATTGCAGGAACACAGCACATAGGACAAAGCAGCCCCAAAGTCGAATCAAATTCAGGGAGGCTTCAGCAAGCAACAATTTTATATCTCCCAGGATCACAATAAGCATCCTTTGGATCTTTCCTTCCTCTCTCACAAAGACACACACACACACACACACACACACACACACACACGTGTACGCACAGGCACACAGGCACAAATTGTTTCTTATCATTCTGCATGGGAAGCAAACCTCTTCTGTGGTGCCAACTGCTCTGTCGGCCAGATTTCCAATGCTCTGAAAATTATTCATGCTGGGAAAATGGCCACAGCTTATGTGTTGCTTCATGAGGGAGCCGTCGCTATAGCTAAATGAAGGGAATTTCAAATGAGTTCAGCGGAGCCGGGATGGGGGTTCAGTCCCCATCTTTTGATTACTGTTCAATGCTTCTGAAGAAGGGTTTTTAAAAAGGGGGGAAATTAGAAATGTTTATTTGTTCATCATATATAAGCTTCCTGATGGAAATATCTTGGTCTCCATTTAGATGTACATCTTCAAAAATTCAGTTAAAAAAAAAAAGAACAAAAATCAGTTCAGTGCAGGAAAATTAATTCTGCAAATGTGTTTTCAATACAAGAGCACCAATGAGGAAGCGGTATGATTGGGCTCCTATTCTTTCATTTTTATTTAGTGTGTTTCTAGTCGGACAAGTTCCTAAAACGCAGGCTGCGTTAGAATAAAACACCACAAAACAGGCACTGAGGAGAAATTAAAAACCAAACACCCTGAATGGGAGCAAATACAGAGAAATTCTATTATAGAAAGGACTTCATAGTTCTGCACGCAGGCCTGGAGGTAACAATACCAGTGTGCCTCACCTGCTCCCTCCCTCCCTCCCTCTCCCTCACACACTTCAGTTATTCCCAAAATTGTATTACACTCTGGAAAGTCCAAATTCAGGTGTGGATTTCTGGCTAGCTGTGGTCCTAACAGACCTGGGAGGGGAGGGGAGGCTTCAAATGCATTCTTGAGACACAGAAGCTCCATATGCAGTAAGGTGCCTCCTGCCATCTGTTCCTCTCTCCACATTTCTCCAACAGAGATGCCACCAGATGCAAAGCTCTAACACCTACTCTGCTTTCAAGCAGACTCACTAACTTTTCCACCGAAGCACCAAATCCAGGGATGCTCCAACTGGGGGTGGAGGGGAGGGGGGAGTATGAATTGTATTTGGACAAGTCAGTTAATGAAAATTACAAGTACAATCAGAATTTATTTCTTTATCTAAACCCTCCTTTACTGTATAAATAACTCAAGGCAGTGAACATACATAATACTCATTCCTCCTCCTATTTTCCCCACAACAACAATCCTGTGAGGTGGGTTGGGCCTGGCTCAGAGTAATCCAGGCTAATGTCCCTCTTTTAAAAACGGGATAAAGGCAGCACCAAAGCTTTCTTTAAAATCCAGTTACAGTATTGATTGCCGGTCTTAAGGCCAAGGCAGTCATAACATTTTTTTATTTGCCCACCCCTGCCCTCCTTACAGCCTGCAGAGTGGCAAGAGCCATTCTGTAGCCAGCAATTCCGCTGTAACATAATCGTATACAGATGAATGTTCTATGTCTCCTTTATATTAGAAAGGTGAATCTAAATTAAAAGGAAGTAGTTAAGCACTAGCCTTATGTTTTACTAGAAGAGATCAAGTCTCCTGTTTTAATTGGTTGATAACAAAGGCAAAGAGAGGTGGAAGGAGAACAAAATGGTTAGATGGCTACGAAAATTCATCTTTTGCTCTGGAGATCTCCTCTTTCAGTATTCAAACCCATGCAATTTGTTCACGCAATTGTTTTCCAACTCTACACCACCATTATGACCAATGTGGAGTATATTTTTATAGAGTTATGAGCTAATTTTTTTATTTATGAATGTGATTATAGACAATTAGTAGCTTTTCTCATTTTAAGCTATAAGCCCTTTCATGTAAAATAAGCATAATCTCATTTCTGTATATCTCTCCATTTCCTGAAACCATGCTGTTGTCTTCGCTCTCTGCGTCTATTTAAGTTATATGCTTCTGTTATACAGGTAGTCCTCATTTAGTGACTGCAATTGGTGCAGGAAATAGTCACTAAGTGAACGATGTGTCTCTGTGCATGTGTGTGTGTATGTGTGGTGTGTGTGTGAGAGAGAAATGCTTCAAAGATTGATGGTTGCTGTCATCTCATTCAGCTAAAGTCCTTTCATACAGTGTCCTGTATGAAAGAATTAACACAATTCTTCCACATAGACTAGTGTCTAAACTTCTGGACCTTGGGTTTTCTAATTCAATCTGCTTTTGGATTATGGATTTCCTGTCTGGCGGCTCACAGAGGGTCAGATTAGGTAATCATACCTCTTCAGCCCTTATTATTAACACTGGTACACCACAGGGTTGCGTTTGCGTGTTGAGTCCCTTACTCTATACTCTTTATGTGCATGACTGCATTCCCACTCATGCTAGTAATACTATTGCTAAATTTGCAGATGCAGGCATGATATTCCGCTCTGAAAAAAAAATCGGGGCCGGCCAAAAGAGACCCCCCGCCGCGCGCCCGGGGAGCGCCCGCTGCTTTCCCTCGCCAGGGCCGGGCGGTGGCGTGTTGCACGGAGGCTGGTCTGTGGCTGGCCCAGCTCCCTTTTCCTGCCACTCAGCGGCCTCCGCTCGCACCGCCCGGGCTCCACTCAGGTATCCGGCTGGGGCTGTCAGGAGTTGCTACCGCCGGCGCAGCTCCACGCGGCTCCAGTCCCGCGTTGCCTCGGGAAGGGAAAGGCAAAACCAGGAGCCGCTGCTGCCGTTGCAAAGCGCCGCCGCGGCTCTTCCTTTTTGCCTTTCCCTTCCTGAGGCAACGCGGGACTGGAGCCACGCGGAGCCGCGCCAGCAACTCCTGACTCGGGGCCTCCGAGGGGAGG